TTTGCGGACCAATACTGTTTTAAATATCTGTCTTTGTCAGTGCAGCTCTGTGGAGTGTGTGATTTAAAGCTGTAATCTGGTCAAATCTGAATACAGTGAAAGTGTTCTGTCTGAGTGTGATCTGAGCATGATGAAATTCTGTCTGAACCAAAACTACATCATCAAATTTTGAGACCGACGCTTACCAGAGTCCAACAAAATACGACCCGAAATTGACCTGAACTGGCCCGTCATCACCCAAGATGCTAAGTGTGAACACTGATAGCTAAAATAATGGCAAATCATTAGACCATGGATGAAAAGAAAAAAAAATATATATACAAAATAATACATTACAATAAATAAATCAGCTGTCAGAAATAAAGTTTATGTCCCACTTTAACAGATTTATTCAAGCAATGCTTTCAAACAACATCCCGAATGTTTTTAGTCTGGAAAAACCCATGATGAGTTGTTCTCACGCTGTGCAGTGCTGATATATTAAGATGTTTGCCCTCACTTGTTTAATCCAAAAACTCAAATCTTTACGTAGAACATTTTACACGTAATATATTGAACAAATACTGTGACATGTTTTTTAACCAAATTAAATGTAAACATGCTTGTGGCTGCAATGAGCTGAACTCTCCTGAATCTATTTGCTGTTTTATTTGCCGCACATCTATTACAAGCGTGGGCCTCGTAGACTCCGATGCTAAGTTCTGATTATAGCATGTGTGAGTGACTCAAGCATGCCTGATTAAAAAGTGTGTTAAAGTAATGAAAGTGCAGAGGAACAATAAAGTAAGGAGAAAAACTGAAGCAGGGAGAAATGCAGGGTAAAATCTGTTAAAAGTGGGAGGCGGGATATCAGAACCCAAATGTGAAACTTGAACCCAACCCGAGCCCAACACATATTTGGGAAATGATGCACGAACCCGTCCGAATACGTTGCTCTGTGTATTAATCTCCTGCTTAATGTAGATATATTTTTTTTAGCAATTCAACATATCATCACTGCTCTGGCTTTAGTTTTTACACCAATCTTTAGACCCAACATTTTGTGATGAATGTACCAACAGAAAACCTCTTTCAGTTACGTAAACATATTTTTTTTCTGCTTATAAAATCATTGTTTAAGAGATGCAACGTGTTCTTATGCCAGTAATGTTATGTGCTATTGGTGTATGTGTACATAAAACCCTCCTATTTCTGTTAAAATGTTAAACACGCTGCTCTCCTATATGTTTCTTGCAGGCCAAGCCGAGCCGCCTGCACTGTTCTCATTGTGATGAAACGTACAGTCTGCCTCAAAATGGAGCCATTAAGCTCTATAAGGAGCTGAAGTGTCCTCTGGATGAGTTCGAGCTTGTGCTGTGGACCTCTGGCTCCCGGGGCAAGAGTTACCCACTCTGCCCCTACTGCTTCAGCAACCCCCCTTTCAGAGACATGAAGAAAGGTACTGCAGCAAGAGTTAAACACGATTTCATTCGGAATGACTTTGAAATGACTTGTCAGATTAAGACAAAAAAGAGCTGCTCTGCCGTGCTGCTGTTCTCTACCACAAGCACACTGTGTGAGCGTGTCTTATGAAAAAAGAGCCATAAAAACTGACTGAGAGGCTCCTTTTTTCTGCAGCTCCTTTCTCCAATAACCCGTTTCAGCACAAGTAATGTGGTAACGCCACAAAGAAGCTACTTTAAGTTAGAGAAAATAAACACGCTTGGGTTTCCGAGATGGTAGTTTTGGTATAGTTGGGTAGTTTTCACTATAGGTTTAATAAATTGTGTGTTTACAGTCTATAAATCTCTGCTTGTTTAAATAATAAATTGGCTAAAGCTTTCCGTGTGAAGTTAGCCTCTAGGCTACTAGGCTGTTAACGTTCCTTCACTGTTATTTTCACCTTTTTTTATAATTAGACTATTTTAATTAAATTAAATTATATCATATTATATTATTTATTATGGTGAGTTTTGTTCTTTTTTTGTTTTTATAGACATTGATTTGATTTAACCACAATGCCAAATTCATTTAAGCCCTTTATTTGTTCAACAAGCACAGCCACAGAAACACGGAGCTGCTGTCAGACAGCATATTTAAACTGACAAGGACATGGACTACATATTAAAACATTAAAAGAAATAAAATATTACGAGACAAATATGATTACTTTTGTGCATCTTAAAGCTGCAGACATCATGTTTTTCCCCAACATTTAAATCATCCAACTTAACTGGCTATCCAATAGATGCAGTCTTCCATTGCCTCAAGCTTATTTATTATTTATTATTACTTCATTCTCAGTCCTATAATGCTTTCTCAGACATTTTATTATGTGCAGCTATGTTGATCTTTTTGGACACGTTTCATTTTTTTACAGCTTCCTTCAATCTGAAACCTGTGCAGTTGTACTGCTGTAGCATCCTAATTGAATAATTTTATCTGCAACAAATTTGGTTTTATATTATTGAAAACAGTGATTCCAAACTTTTGCACTGTAGTGTCCAGGCGATTTGTTTTAACATGGCACATATTTTAAACTGTGACTCTAAAGTGTTTTTTTCCCCCACCCAAATCATTTCTCTCTCCTGTCTGCAGGTATGGGCTGTAACGAGTGCACCCACCCGTCCTGCCCACATTCTCTCAATTCTCTTGGGATCGGTCAGTGTGTGGAGTGTGAGACAGGCGTGCTCGTCTTCGACCCAAACTCTGGCCCGAAGTGGCGCATGGCCTGCAACAAATGCAACGTGGTGGTGCATTTCTTCGAGCAGGCCCACAAGGTGCAGGTGTCCCAGGACAGCTGTGAGTCGTGCGAGGCGTCACTGGTGATGGTGGACTTCCATAAGGCTCGCTCGCCGCTGGCTGAAGGAGAGACGCAGCACACCGGGTGCGTTTTTTGCGACACTGTCTTCCAGGACCTGGTGGAGCTCAAACACGCCACCATGCGGCATCCCATGCACCGAGGAGGCGGGGCTCGCAGGGGAAGGGGGCGGGGTCGAGGGAGGCGGCCTGGCGGACGGGGGAATCCTAAAAAACCGAAAGACAAAATGGCAGCCTTGGCAGCGTACTTTGTATAAGGACTGTAAATGTGTGTATAGAATGTCCTACTGCACTAAAGGAAAACAGCCAAAAGTGATATGTAAATGTTACCTATTAAATAGGTAGGAACATCAATAAAAATGTTAGTTAAAAGAGATTTTGTGTGATGTGCTGCTTTCTTACTCCATATTTGTTAATCTGTGTGCTTTTTTTCTTGTTGTATACTGTTTAACAACTTCTGTTAATAGACTGTTTCCTGCTATTGAGACTTATTATGTGAACTTATTGGTTATTTAACTATTTTAAGTTACCGTTTGTCAGCAGAGTGCTATTATCATCAGTTTCCAGCATACCAAAGGAATCTGTGTGGCCAAGGTTAGTGCTTACTGGCTAAAATCTCAAGCCTTTGAGACATTAATTAGGAAAATTTCAGTGCTCTCAAAATACTGACTGCTATATCTACAGTGCTTCTAGCATGAGGATCATCCTGCATTGAGGAAAAAGCTCCACATGCATCAGAAGAAAGTACTTCCTGCCTGAATATGCCAGCAATGTTCCAAGTGGGGCTACAGGTTGAACTTGGAAAGACATCCATGCTTTATAACAACAGTGCCATTTCTGGAGATCTACCACCCTGCAGAGTTTTGTTCTTGCATGCTTGGCTTTAACACAGAGATGCCACTGAAGTTCATTTACTGGATCAACTGTTATATTGGGTTGGAACTAAATTCACATACTTATCATATTTTTAAATAAAGGAGTTTGATGTATAATGTAAGCATTATTACAATTTCACAACATACTGTTATTCCTCAGTCCATATATGGAAAGAAAGCTGCAAAAAAGCCCATTTTGAATTCTTTGCTTCTGTGGTGTCACGAAATTGGATATATCCACCTATTCAGTCCACAGCAGTTTAGATCCATTCACGCACACTGAAGTTATTAGGAGTGTCTCAGCTTGGACTGCTTAATGAATGAGGCGCAACACAGGGCAGCCAATCAGAACATAGGCTATTTGCATATATCACTTTTAAGTAACAAAAAATGACTTAATTGTAATGGTTAAAGATAAACAATAATAAAAATAATGTATAGTGGAATTATGAGTGTGTTTGGTACACAAAACCACAAACATCATAACACAAGACAAAAGGGAACTCCACCGATTTTTCAAATTTCATGTGGAATTCCATCGTTAAGACTGAAACAGTCATACAAAGTTGTTTGATGTAAAATGGTTCAGTTTAGAGAAACTTACTGACTCAGATTTCATTACAGTGGTGGTGATAGGAACCAGGAGTCACGATGTCTGCAACACAAACATAGCCATTTTATTTTACTATCCAAAACCACCAGTGAACCTATGTGTGTCTTCTGAGTTTTTCTATGTAATGTTGATGATGGTAAAATAGTGGTAAATCTAGAAACAAATGTTTTATTGGGGACTAATTTGTCTTATAACACTCTACACGTATCTCTCCGCCATGAATGGATTTTAAACGTACATTGTAGCCTAAAAGTTAATCTCAAAGCTATCATAGAACAATGTTTTGGGCATCAGGCAGCATATTCATAATCATTTTATTAACCTTTTGTGATGTGGCTTTTAGAGACGTTAAATTTTTCAGACGTCTGGTTCTTATCACCACCACTGTGAACAATTCCGACTTGGTAGGTTTCTCTAGACATCAAACCACTCTGAATGACTTTGGTCACATCTTAACAGTTGACTTAGGGAGACATTTTAAAAAATCGGTGGAATTGCCCTTTAAGCCTATGGAAGAAATAAACTCTCTATAGCAATTACCAAGAGCGGCCACCAGGCGGCAGCACCTCGAGTTGGGCTCTTCCTCAACTGCTCGCTTCTTCTTGCCACGAAGCAACAAAACAGATCTCACAAGAGTACGGATGGTCTCCACACGGTGGCGTCCTGAGCGACCGGTCCATCCTGTTTGCGTTGAAACCGTTTTCCGTCTATCGCACCAGAGAGGCGCACACAGACACACCGACTTCCTCGTGAGCCGCTTTTGTTGTGCAGCACGCGCAGGGCGTGCAGGCGAGAAGCATTGCAAAAAAAGGGGGGTTTGCAAGGTACGTACCACGGCCGTGCGTTTGCGTGCACGCGCGCGGGTGTGTGTGTGCGAGTGTGTTGTCGTTAACGGGCGGGTCCGGTCAGGCGTTAGAGGAAAGTTTGTAGGGCTTGTTAAGGCCTCTGCCCCCAACGACGCTGAAGTCAGTTTGTTTTGCGAGGTTCTTGTTGGAATTTCCCCGTTCCACCTTAAATGGGGCAGCAGTTACACTCAGGAGTCTGAGGGGTCAGAATGTAACTGCACCATTTAAGGTGGAACGGGGAAATTCGAATAAAAAGCTGACTATAGCTTCGGAGGGGGATGGACCAGCCCTCATCCTGCACTGTGTGTGTGTGTATGTGTGTGTGTGCGTGTGCGTGTGTGTGACACTTCAGTAACGCTGGAAACAGCTGCAGACGTGCGCGCCGAACTCTGCAGGACTTAAAGGGGAATTCCACCGAGTTTTCAAAATTTCTGCATAATTAAATGGTTGAGATGTAAACAAAGCCATTCAGAGTGGTTTGGTATGAAATGCTCCATTCTAGAGAAACTTGCCGATTCAGAACTGTTCACAGTGGTGGTGATAGGAACCAGACGTCTGAAACGTTTACTGCCTTTTAAAGCTCCTTCACAGAAAGTTATTAAAACATATAGTTATGAATATGCTGCCTGATGTCTGAGACATTGTTTTTACTAAGGTTTTGAGTAATTATTTGGCCTAAAACATATATTTAACATATTTTTTATCATAATATTTTTAAAAGTCTGATATTGCAGAGCTGTACATGTAGGACACTGTGAGGCAAAACAGTCCCCAAATAAAATGTGACCATTTTACCATCATCAGTATTACATATAAAAACTCGGAAGACAAGTAGGTTCACTGGTGGATTTGTATAGTAAATAATGTGGCTATTTTTGCGTCGTAGACGTTGTGACCCGTTCCTATCACCACCACTTTAAAGAAATATCAGTTGATAAGTTGCTCTACAATGAACCACTTCACATCAGACCACTCTGACTGACTTTGTTTACCTCTCAGTGACTGAATTAGTCAGACGTTTTAAACAGTCAGTGGACTTCCACTTTAAACTGAGCTCATTTGTGAGTTTGTTATTGCCGAGGTTGCAGCCAAGTTGTCACTAAATGGGAAGTGATGGCAAGAGTGCAGGTACAGAACTGTGCAGAAGTGAAAAACTGCCCATTATTTATTTAATTTGCTGTCAAAACAATCATTAGTTTATTCGTTTTTCTGGATCAGGAAAAGTCAGTAAACATACATTTAACAGGATGTCACACACAAGCCTCAAAAACTAAATATGTCAGTTTTTTAGTATGTAGTGTGTCCACTCTTTACAGAAACACCTGTGGATGTTTTCAGATCTGAAGCAAGAGTGGAGCCTGATTTTCTCCTCTCTCTCAAAGATGAAAGCTTTAATTGTTGTTTATCTGATGGGGGCAGTTTTGGTGTCTAACAGGTCTTGCGTGGTTGTTAGGAGCCCCATTTTCTCTGTAGCTTTTAATCATTTTTAAACTCCAGTGTTAAAATCTCACTTATCTCACTTATTTTCTTTTGACTTTGCCCTTTGACCGAGCCCCTCCCTCCTCCTCGCCCATTTTACTCTGATAGGATGCAGCCAAGTGCCTAGTTTTGACATTGGTTTCTAAAAAAAACATGGGAGACTCTCAGAAGAGACAGAGGGGCTAAAAGGCAATACAGTTACACATTTTGATTTGAGGTGGGCAGTGCAAAGACATTACATTGTGATCCTGATAAATTGTGTTAGTTTGTTTTTTTTTCAACATATTGTGATTATTGTGAGTACTTAAAGAACACTGACCAACTGCATTTATCATTAAAAAGAGAGCAGAATCAGTCTTGCTTAATTCAATTTAATCACATTCAATTTAATGTATTGTGTACAATATTGTTTAAAATCATTATACTCTGAGTTTCTTTAGTATTTTTATATAGTATTTTTAAATGTGGCGCTACAGTTCCAGCTTATTAGACCATGGAAAAAAATGTTATGTTGATATTTACCAGGAAAATGTTTCCAGTATTGGGATTTATTAATTAATTTATTTATATTTATCATAATTCCTGTACATTATTTTGAACAGTTTCTCCCGAGGTCCACCTATGACCTCTGTAGGTTTTAAGTCGTAAGTCATTTTTACAAGACCATTTTCCAGCCTGTCATTATCCCTCTCTTTATTAACAGGCTGTTTTTGTTCCGACACCTTTAAGACTAATATATATGTAAATTATTTATTGTCTGATTTGCTGCCCTGTGTTGTGCCTCATTTAAAAACAGCCCATGCTGAAACATTCCTTATAACTTCAGCTTGAGTGGGCGGGGCTAAACTGCTGTAGGCTGAATAGCTGGAAATATGTAAATGTGCTGGTTTTCGTGACATCACAAAAACAGTTCATTCAAAACAGGCCGTTTTTACACTTTACTGTCCATATAAGGGGTTGACAAATGGTGAGTGAGAAATAAGTTTTGAAACGTAGTCTACAAACTACATCAGTCTCTTTTATTGAAAAGAGGAAAATTTTGTTTTCTGTGATATGGGCTCACACCCTGGCTTACATGTGAGTTGTGGAGTGCCACCATCTCTGCTAGTTATGAGACAAGGCCAAATGTACTGGTCAGCAGAAAAGGTTTGGTTTTATCCTGTTTCAATACGTACTTCATGCCAGTGTCCATTATTGGCTAACAGTGCATTCACAGGGGATTAGTGGTGAGGGTGGGGTATTATCAGTGTGTTAACTGTCCTGTGGTGGTTTGTTTACAGCACCGCCTCTGTGGCTTCATTCCTTAAAGTGTAAAGAGACAGAAAGCAGTTTGCAGAAGTGTGTGGGTGAGACAGACAGGGCCTCTAATCAGCTCAGGCATCCTGTGAACATTGCATTTACATTTACCTTTATTTATTCGGCAGACGCTTTCATCCAGAGTGACCGAGGAGACAGAGGCCCGAGATGGGGACGAGAGAGCAGGACGAGGCGCTGAAATTTCTGAAGAGTTTTGTGGAGGAGTTTGGGAACCCGCTGGGCCCGGATGACCCGCTGCCTCTCGCCCCGCTCAGCCGCAAGGTCACCCTGCAGGAGGTGACGGGAGAGAGTCTGGAGCTTGGCCTGCGGCTGCTCTCTGCCAGGTGGGTGGATCTGTGTGTGCTCAGGGAAGTGAAATTTTGTGTGCGTACTTGTGCTTACCTCTCATCCACTGAGACAAATGAAAGTAACTTTTCGTTAAACTGTACACTTGTGTACATGGTCCGTCAGCAGTTCTGTACAGTTAGTAAAAGGTGGCACTACACCTCCAAAACATATTGGTTCTTAATTTAGTGATTCTTGGTGGAAAAAGTGGAGCTGCAACTCAATGACAGAGTTCTCTGACTGAAAAAAGACAATTGGGCCACTGATCTAAAACAGTCTTTCACCACTAGCAATGGCTATAAAATATGCCAAGGCTATAAAATAAAAAATAACATGACCCAGTTATCGTATTCATAAACCATGTCAGTGTGTGTTTTAAACCTGCGGCTTTAGGGTTCCTCCAAAGTCCGTACATTACAAAGGAAGAGGAGACACTTCGCTGGGTAAAAAGTGAATTAGGGCTCATAATGCTCACCTTTTCATCTGTTTATGTGGAAAATCTCGCCCTTCTGTAAAAGTGTCTGTTGCCTTATAGTTCAAGCCACTAAACGCAGAATCACAAAAGGTTTTTTTGTTTGGGAAATGTCCCGCCCCAGTCTGGAATGGAGATTTTGATTGGCTATTGCCTGCAGGTCAGTGGTCCGTGCAATTTAGGGAGAGCAGAGATTTTAAATTTATTTTATTTTACCTTATTTTTTGATGTGAGCATCCTAAAATCAATCATCAAGTGGTGAGGCATCACCCCAGTACTTCTAAAAGAAATGGGTCAGATTCCTGCTCAGGTTTTAGCATACACCTAGCTTTCCAAAATGTTTTTAATTAGGGACACACCACTGGAATCAGCAGCTTTTTTGGTCCAAATGTGCAAACAGCTATGAAAGTGTAGCCAATGTATATTTTTTATTTTGTTTTATCTTTGTTATAATTTTTATGGCATAAGTAACGCGAGGCAGGTATGTGCGCTCCACTTTTTTTAATGCTGTTGCTACAGCAGTACCAAAATGTCATAGCATAATTGTACAGGACTCATTGCCTCTGTGCAATTTCAGTGTGGCACTTTTTGATTTTTGTTATTTAAATATGTATCAGATTTTCCACTGATGAATTTAACATACCAGTTTGGCCCATTAAGGAGTGAATGATATTATTTATTGTGTGACTTTGGCTAATAAGTAGTACTGGAAATATGCTAGCGTATTTCGTTTGTTCCTTTAGCCCAAACTGTGTGAGCTTTGGGTTTAAAACAAAAGGCTAATAAAAATCAGCCATCAGCCAATTTGACTGAAATCCGAATTAAAACCAGGCATGTAAATTCATGATCAGTAACCCTTTGTTTTAATAAATGACACTGTTTTTTTCTGTTGCTTTGCAATAACATATAAATCTGTCTGATCTTGCCATTTTATTCATATAAACTGCAAAACTGAAGGAACAGAAGACCTTCTTTGGGAATAAATCCACAGCCCACACATTTTATCTCCTTGTTATGATGTTAATATTACATCAGCAATCAAACCTTTCAGGTGTTTAAACCACCTGAAGAGTACTTTTATGAACAGTTAGGAAGAGAAAACTACCAAATCATTGTTTAGGTAAAACCTGCTCTTCATACCAAGAAAGACACTTTGAAGAAAATGAAGTTGAGTGTTTCAGCATTAGCACATAGCTGTTTTATGGTAATAAACATTTGCAATTTTTTCAAACTTTGCACAAAAGTAACAGTACAAATCAACTATTAAGCAAAACAATACAATTAAATGACTTTTTTGGTGAGAAATGCACTCACACTGTGTAATGACAGAAAGTGTGAACAGGAGGAACAGTTTTTTACATTTGATTTACTTTAATTATGGATTTATAGGTTTATTCTAGGAACTTTGTCTTTTTTTTAGTGGGTGTTGTTCCTCTGAGTATAATGTCAGCATTTGGTGAAAGTAGCACCCTTGCATTTGTGTGCTTGTGCTCTTTCACACCTGTCCCTCCTTCCTGTCTCAAACCAGAGGAGGAGTCTTCATGCATTCCTATCATTCCTGTGTCCTCTCCCCTATCTCTCTCCCTCTCTCTCTCTCTCTCTCTCTGTGTCTCTCTCTCTCTCTCTCTGTGTCTCTCTCTCTCTCTCTCTCACTCGTCCGTGGGAGGGGTTGTGGTTTACTGTCAACCCTAACACAAGTTCAAACTTGCCCCTTTTGGGACTGTTCTTGAACATTTCTGTCTGCTCCTGGCACCAGTAAACTCCTTTTTGACATAAACAAGCTAATGTAAATGTATATAAAGCTTGATCATTGTTGTTTTCTGACACTGTGTTTGGAATGGTTGACTTGTTAACTCAATCAGAATTCATTACCTAGCCTTTGCTATATAATTAACTGACTGGAGAAAACTGTGGCACCAGAAGATTTATCATTGAGAATTCTAACACTAAAACGCTAACGCTGACACACTATATAGCAATCTGCCTTCCGATGAAACTTAAATTATACTGCATGATTGTTTACAGGCACTGTCATAAGAAAATCTTGTTACATAAAGTTAATTAATGGTTATTAATTCGGTCTTGAACACCTTATAAACCATTAATAAGCAGTTATAACACATAAATAAAAAGGGCACTGTTTCCTATCTGTTGCTTGTCAAATAGTGAGCCCACATTAATGTATACTGTTAAACCTCAGATCTTGCTGGTTTGTTATCTTACATTGTCTTCTCTAAACCTGTTGGCTTCATCAGATTTTCATGTTCGTTATATATAACAGCTCACCATCACCCTTTTTTATTTGCGTGTCTTATTAATGATTTTTGTTCATGGCCTAATTAATAACCATTAATGAACTAAATTTAAACCATTCATAAACTCTTTAGAAGGATAATCTTACTATAAAATGGTACCAAATGTTGTTAATATACAATAAAATTAAGAATTTTGTTTTTTATCATGTAAAGTTACCATTTCAGAGATACAGATACAAGGCATTTTTTGGCCACAATGATAATCCACATGTATTCAGCACATAAGTGAACCTCGGAATGGTAAAACAAGTTCTTAACGTAGTTAATATACTTAGAATATTTATTTTATTCATAGCAATGTGCGTTTAATTGGAGTGACAGTGTCAATGTAAAGACAAGATTTGTCCGAACCATGCTTTCAAATGGCTGACTCCCTATATAGTGTAATATATGATGTTTGCCTCTCTCTCTCTCTCTCTCTCTCTCTTTTTTTGGGTGCGTTCCTCAGGGCAGACTTCCTGTCTACGGAAAAACGGAATGACCATTGTTCTACCCACTTCCTTTTGATCAGAGTTCATTTCCTCTTCACATAGTGCTGTAGCTCTACACAGCCCAGATGTATCAGCTTCGGTTTATGTTATGACTCCAAATATATCATGTAGCTCATGATACAGTTCATTCCACAGCCCTACCAGACTAGAAGTGGATAATACAGCAGTTTTTAGGAGTAACGCTGTTGAAAAGTTGGCTGGTCTTATTTCCTGATGCCATGATGATGTAATCAGCTGTAGAAGACCCCATCCCTTTGTCTCGGTCTGCTTCTCTGTCATCGTGAATTCTTTTAATCCGCTCTGGCTTTTCCTGTTGCGGGAATACAATAGGGGTGGGAATCGCTACAGCCCCATGACGCAATTCTGTTTTTACAGATTTGTAATATGCCAAGTGTTGCAATGTGACACATTGCAGTCTATTACTTTTGACTGCAAACTGTTCTTCTGAAAGAAAATATTTTGTTTTATCTAAAGAAACTTACACTTTGTTTACACTACACATATACACCAGCTTTTTAAAGTTTGAAATCATTTGCTATGTAAATAACAACTTATTTTTGTGCAATAATTACTTATACAGTGTGGATTTAAATCTTACAGACTATTCGCTTAAAGGTATTTTTTATGTTTTTAATAAACATCAGTAAAATTTAGGAATTCTATGAACAAGAAATTAATAAAATTCTGAATAAATACTCAATATGTTGTATTTATCTATTGGCATTAGTTTTTGTTACATTATCTGCCCTGAGATGTTATCTCCACTTTTGAAATATGATGAATTGGATATTTTCATCATTCTGGATGCATCTAGAAATTCTTCTTTTTTACTTACAGCTTCCTAGTGTCCTACAGATTATTTGAACAAGCATATTAGAATAACTTTTTGCATTCACCTGCAGCTGCATTGATTTTATAATGATAAAAACACTGATTCCAAACTTTTGAATGGTAGTTTACATTCTTTACATATTTAGCATATTTGTTTGTAGATAATGCAAGATTCCTATCAGGCTTGATACTCTTACAGGTTAAAAATAATAGAACTATCAAAACAATGATTTTTATTTAACATTTTACACACTGTGCTGCACTAAATCCAATTAGGATTAATTATGCTGTCTTTATAATGAAACATGCAGTTGGTCAGTATTCTTTAAGTGCTGACCATATCCATAGTATGCTCTTAGGCCCCCTAATGGCCATTCTGCCAGCCATGGAAATTAACCAAATATTTTTGTTAATATAATGAAATAAAGTAGTTTAATTAAAAAATATTATTACATTTTTATCAAAATATTCAAAATTGGACCTCCAAAACAGACTGAATTTACATTATGTGAAAAAGACTTTATACTACTTTTGGAAGCATAATTTGAAGTCAAAAGTAATAAATTGCAATGTATAACAGAATATCTCAATATTGCAATACTAATCTTATCACAAATCTTTAAATATCGCAGTAGAATCAGATAATGGTTCAAGTACTGTGATAACTTTGCGTTTTGGGTATTTTTTGCTTCTAGTCATTCCAAACCCCACAGGATATGCACATCTACAACATTGTTATGTCCGTAAAGAATGTGTGTAAAGAATTATCTCTATCTATGCTTGTTTGTTTATTGTATAGGCACGCCCCCTCCTGGTTGAGTCCATTAATGTGCCACGCTGCGGTCAGTGAGCTTCTGAAAGATGATCTTTCACCTTTCCACTGTCCCAAAGACCCTGAGCAGCAGCCAGATGACGAACCAGAAGTAGTTTGTGAGTGGAACACTGATCATTTGTTTCTCTTTTTTTTGCATATTTTTTTTATTCATGTATCATGGCTTTTGGCCAAGGACCTATGTTTTTGTGTTATGAGTAGATTTTTGTACATTTCTAATGCATCAGTCTGGATTCGAAAGGAAGTGGACTCTAAATAATGTAACTTTGCTGTCCTCTGGTGTTCACATGGGATACTGCTACCTGATGGTCAACAGTGAATGTGTTACTAGAAAAACCTCCAGGGACAAGAATAGCCTTGAGAGGAATTTACTGTGTGCATTGCCTTTGCTTACTTTGCTTAGTTATAACAGATCAGAATATTAATTTCTGATCTGTTAACCTGCTGCTGGTAGCATTTGTATGTGTATTTAGGGACCCTATGTATCCAAAAGAATCCAGACACCCCTTCTCATTAGTGAATTCACTAATTCGGCCAATCACTTGAGCACACACAGCTTGTTTAGTCTGCAGAGAAAAGATTGCCATTTCCAGTAGATTGGGAGATTCTGGAGCAGCTGTGCGTGACTGTAAGGTCACCAGGGCCAAAGCCAGTGTCAGGTTGAAGGGTATAAAGCCCCCCAGCACTAGGCTGTGGAGTAGCATCTTTGAGTTGGTGTAGCATTTATTTATTTTATTTATTTTATTTATTTTATTTTTACCCGATTTTCTCCCCAATTTAGTCGTCTCCAATTCCACCCGCTAGTTAGGACTCCCCCAATCACACGATGCTATCAACGCTAGGAGGGTGAAGGCTAAAACAGGCTTCCTCTGAGACCTGTGAAGCCAACCACCGCTTCTTTTCGAGCTGCCGCTCACGCAACGTCATTGGACAGCCGAACGCGCTCGGAGGAAAGCGCCAACCGCCAGATGTTACGTCAGCTAACAGACGCCTGCGCTGACTAGCATCGCGCTGAGTGATGGGGGGAGAAGGAGGGGCCATCCTACCCACCCAGAGAGAACGAGGCCAATTGTGCTCTCTCGAACTCCCGGCTACGGGTGGCTGTAGCATCACCAGGGATCGAACTCGCGATCTCCTGATGATAGGGCCAACGCTTAGACGGTTGCGCCACTCGGGAGCCTGGTGTAGCATTTATGATCCTAATAATCCAACATCATTACCTGACCTCACTAATGCTCTTGTGGCTGAATGCAATCAAAACCACACAGTTACGTTCCAACGTAGTGTAAAGCCTTCCCAGAAGAGTAGAGGCTGTTACTGCAGCAAAAGGAACACAAACTCCCTATAAATACCCTTAATTTAAGAAGACTTATTGGATGAGCAGGTGTCTACAAACCTTTGGGCATATAGTGTTTTTAAGATTTGAGTGTTTTTTGAGCATCTTTGGTTTTCTGACCTTGTCTGCAGTGCTACAGTCTGAGCCTGTTCAACGCCTGTTTATCAACAAGCTGAGAGACGTTGCCCTGGCCTGGCAGAAACAGCTGCCCAGTCCGGTTCCTCGCTCCTCCCACCTCTGCTCTGTCCACGCCATTCGGAACACTCGGAGGAAAATGGAAGATCGCCATGTGATACTGAGCGAATTTAACCAGCTCTTAGGTTTACAGGTGAGGCCTTTAGGCTTTGTCTTAAATACTCTGTTAGTTTTTATGCCCTACGTACTTGCTAGATATACAAAAGTTAAAGAGTCTTGTTTGCACTTTGGTACCACTTTAAAATAAGACTACCTTTATAAAGCGTATATAAATCATTTTAAAATGTATTAAAGACTACTAAATCAATCATAAGCACCTTAAAATCATTAATAAGCAATTATAATACATAAAGAACATGGGCAACAGTAAGGTTTAATATTTGATGAATATGAGTATCCGATGAAGCTGAAAGGTTTCATGCTGACTGATGAAGAAGAGAAAATAAGATCAGTAACCAGCAACATCTGAGTTTTAACAGTGTTGCGCTGGTACGAGTGGATCAGACACAGCAGTGCTGCTGTGAGTTTTTAAACAGTGTGTCCACTCACTGTCCACTCTATTAGACACTCCTACCTTGTCAGTCCACCTTGTAGATGTAAAGTCAGAGACGATAGCTCATCTGATGCTGCACAATTTGTGTTGGTCAACCTCTAGTCCTTCATCAGTGGTCACAGGACGCTGCCCACAGGATGCTGTTGGCTGGATATTTTTGGTTGGTGGACTATTCTCAGTCCAGCCGTGACACTGAGGTGTTTAAAAACTCCAGCAGCACTGCTGTGTCTGATCCACTCAGACCAGCGCAACACACACTAACACACCACCACCACATCAGTGTTACTGCAGTGCTGAGAATGATCCACCACCCAAATAGTACCTGCTCTGTGAGGGTCCATGGGGGTCCTGACCACTGAGGAACAGGGTGAAAGGGGGCTAATAACGTATGCAGAGAAACAGATGGACTACAGTCTGTAACTGTAGACCTACAAAGTGCACCTATATAGTAAGTGGAGCTGATAAAATGGACAATGAGCGTAGAAACAAGGAGGCGGTCATAATGTTATTCCTGATCAGTGTATATTCTATGTTATAAATTGTTCATATTTAAAAATTCTGAATCAGACCTCATTAATTAAGGCAAACCAGACTGGTGAAATTTGACATTTCATGTTGAATTGAAATGTTTTGTAAGATGCAGAAACAAATTGAATCATTGTAACTACTCAGTTAAGGTCAGTTGAGCGCAAAGCTGCCTGGAGAATAACTCTGAACAGTCAGTTTTTTGTCAGTGTAAATTCTGCTTTAACCTAATCAGAGCGGGTGGTAACCTATTCGTTCTCCTCGCATAGGACGGTGTGGAGCGTGAGTACTATGCTGTTTTTGATGGACACGGAGGGGTGGACGCCGCCACATATGCAGCTACTCACCTGCATGTCTTGCTCAGCCAACAGGAGACCCTAAAGAGTGACACCGCCACAGCCTTCAAAAACTCATTCATACAAACAGACGACATGTTCAAGATCAAAGCCAAAAGAGAGGTAGGACTGAGAGACGGCACTGTGGCACTGTGGGGCTTTTTTCCTGTTCCAACTGTCTTGAAGTATCATGATGATATATTTTTGCCATATCGTGCATCCCTAACTTTCATCCCTAAGTCATTCAGAGTTTCTGTTCATTAGCCTCACATTATAGCTGTGGGTATGGTTATGGTCTGATCTCAGTCTGATTTAACTAAGCATGTGGTTAGTGGATCAACAAATGCATTTTTTTGCACATAAGAAAAAAGGAAAAAAGGAGAGATCAAACAGAAAGAACTTCTTTTGTAGTTTTTCAAGAGATTGGTTATGTTTATTGTTACGTACATATATTTAATTATTTGACAAAGAGGGTTTTAAGGAACTTAACTATTGCTAAACATGCTAAAACCATTTGAAGCCATTATGGAATAGTTATGATAATTTATCACACGTTTGCAAGCTATCATGTCATAATTATTCACCAGTTAGTCATGACCACACGATCATAAGAAGCATGCACTTTTTTTTTATCATTCTGATGAACCCAGGACACAGAACTGTTATATGAAAACAACAGAGTGCTCGAGATTGCTTCACTGCAGATATCACACCTGATATGATCTGCTGAACTCGCCTTCTGCTCATGCCTGAAACCGAATTAAAGCCCCACTTGTATTTGGTTGTTCAGTCAGTGTGTTTAAGTGAGGATATTTCCTAGCCGGCATAATCATGTATGTATCAACGTTAGGCTATAATTGGCGCTAGTTAATTTTTCAGTCATGTCTTACATGACTGAGGTTCGCTAAAAATAAAGGACACAAAAAAACTTGAAGCCCCTTAAGAAGGGGGGCTCATTCCAAAGTTTTTTTTGATGGAGTAACCAGCCTTCATTAAACAGCTATTAATTGTTAACTGCCTATTAAACAAACCCTATGTTCTAACTCTGTTTTGTGTAAACACAGTGTTACTACACTGCAACTACAATGTTAAACACTCATTACTAGTCAAAGTTGAATCAAACGTAAATGCGGTGACTGAAGGTAGCTTTGTCCTGTATACCTCAGTAATTCTTAAAAGCTGTTGTTGTCCACCACGTCCTTCTTTGTAATTTTCACACCCATATGTGAGTTCCTCCCACTGATGTGCCCCACACTTTCTTCATGAGAACACGGACAAAATAGGCGTCTGTGTTATTGTTTGCGGACGTTTGCGTTTAACATGAAACATTGTTGTAGTCCTCTGGAAAAGCGGTCCTAAACAAAAGTTGCATGCTTCAGTTTTTGTTGGTCTGTCTAGTGGAAGCAACTGATTCCGGATCATTCCTCAAGTTAAATGACAAACCCGCCTATTCAGATAGGGTGTTTGCTGTTTGTTAAATTGTTTTTTTTTTAATAATAATTATTTATTTGCAGGTTAATGGTTAATAATGTACTTTCCTGGTTCAATTAATCCAGACAATAGGTCCATTCTAGTCATACAACGGCACTAAACACTGTACGCAATTTAAATATGTGCTTATTAAGCCATTATGATTATGATATGATTAAATTAGATTATTAAATCATTACGATTATGATGTGATTAAAAGTACTCAGTGTTCTGAGTAGGACATGGGAGTTATGAAGCTTCTTACAGACTTGCAGCAAAAGTACACCAACCGTTCAGCAGGTTTCCTCTTATTGTCGCAGGTGCATGCCATAAGTGGAAAGTTCTGATAATGTTTGTTTCTTTTTCTCAGAAAATTTCCTACAGTGTAACATATATACAGACAAATACTAACACTGTGGATACGTGTTTGGTAAGAAGCTTTCTGCATTGCTGCAGGTAGAGATATTAGTCAGCATGGTTGCACTGTTTTAATGTGGGCACTGTAGGAGTTTAGTGCGATGGCTGTTGAGAGGCTCTTTCACAGAGAGAAAGTTGCGTGAGTGGCTTCACTTTTAGTCACTCGGTGGAGAGAGATACGTTGATGTTTTTGATTTATTCTTCCCTTCCCCCTGTTTTTTTTGTTTCTGAGAACAGATGACCGTGATGATGCAGAGTGCAAGACGGCAAGAGTTATGATTGATCCTCATAGTAGAGACAAACTGATGTAACAGTGCTTTTATGTTGACTCTGGCGGTCTGCGTGTGTTTGTATGTCACTGTTTTTAGCTCTAGTTCTGGAGTACTTTGCATTGCATATTTTGGTGTTTTCGCTGCTCTAACAAACTTATAATAGGGCCCAACTGAGGCACATGTTGCAGTCGATTTTAACAGGCTTAAAATTTTAATAACCAATAAGATTTAGAAGTTTGAATCCTGGTAATACGACGACCAAAGAAGTTGGAAATTATAAGCATGTTATCAGTGTTAATTTTGCTGATACCTTCAATATCGGCCATCAGACAATGGATGTATTGTTTGGGTTCTATTAGCTTTTTTCAACTGGGCAGTGTGGTACAGGATGGGGCTGGACAATATGACAGTATTTATTGTTATCGTGTTAAAATATGTCACAATAAGCTTTTCTGAGCATATCGTGGGTATCATTAGTACTTACACACACTGACCAGCTGCATGTTTCATGTTAAAGAGAGCATAAATTAGGTCTGTTTAATTGGATTTAGTGCAGTGAAGTATTTGAAATGTTAAATAAAATATATTTGTATCAACGAGACAAAATATTGACCTGTCGGTTCTGTGAAACAGCAAAAATAAGTTAATGTTACTCAGCTGTCAAGCACAAATAGATCCAACCCTCCATGAAGCTGAAGTCAGCTTCTTTTTCACCAGCTGCTTGTTATTATTTTAATGCTGTTAACATTTTTCTAAGGACACTTTCTCGAGACATTCGCCAGCTTTTTGTTCGAATTTTTCCGCTCCACCTTAAATGGCGCAGCAGTTCAGTATGTAGCTTCCACACCATTTAAGGTGGAACGGAAAAAGTCGAACAAAAAGCTGCATATGTCCCGAGAAAGTGTCCTCAGAAAAATGTTTACAGCATTAAAATAATAATTAGGCTATTCTGAGAGCTTCATCTCAGAATCAGCTGATCAGGGGGTCAGCAGTGATATTAAGATGAGTCTGTACTGGATTAGCCTGAGTGCAGGTACGTTTGTACAGCTTTTCAAATCAAGCTATGAACAGAACGGAAAGATCTATCGTGTTTCAGTGAGTATCAGATGAAGAACAGAGAACTGCAGGGAAACCTGCTGATTTTGTTCTGACTTCTTTTCATCTGCCCTCAGTCTGTACATGGAAATGTTCACTGACAAAGATTAAGGAGGCTGCCAGTCTAATGACGTCAATTCAGTGCACAGTAGCTTTAGCTTACATGTAGCAATATTCATATTTCAACTCTTTAACGACCTCGTAATTCAGAGGTTCCAGTGGTGTTAGAGAGAAGAATGTTCACAAGACAAAACGTATCGGGTTCTGAACAATTTTATTTAACACAGGGGGCGGTTGAGGCGATTTTTCGAAAACCCTATTCATTCTGGCCATAGAGAAATGGAGCTTAGACCCGGAGTTCCTAATATGGGCATAAGAGCATGGTGCCGACTACAAAATGACGACACGACTACAGTGGTCTATTTAAAAGAAGATATTGTTCAGAAATTGCTATCAAGTCAAATGCCTGATCCCATTTCTTATTTTTACCCCTACCCCTTGTTTTCGAGTGTCTCCTTGCCCCTTGGAACTGAGTTACAAGGAGTGGTAGTATCTACCCCTATGAAATGGGACAACCCTCAAATAAAAAAGAACATCACTTCATTAACAGGCTACTAGCAGCGCTCTGTAGTCGACCTTGCCGGTCTGCAGTGATAGCAGAGGAGAGTAAAGTTCAGCAACCTCGCTGCTGGGCTTTAGTTACATTTAGGGAATCATATACCTTCAAAGAGGGGGGATATGACAGTTATTTATTATCGCCCACCCCTAATTCTTCGGTGATATGCAGCTGATGTCAGCTTTTCGCCAACTTTTGTTCGAATTTTCCCGTTCCACCTTAAATGGTGCAGCAGTTCTGATGCCTGAGGTGCCAGAATATAATTGTTGCACCATTTGAGGTGGAACAGGAAATTTAAAGGGTAGCTACCGAGACATCAGCATACTACTAGCAACTTTTATGCTGGTTTTGAAGAAAAGGACCATAATACATTGAAACAACATTCAACTAAGATAATACAATGGTTATCATATATTTTAGCAGAGAAAATACTCACCTTTGTGTGAGTTTAGTCGCTTGCAGTCATCTTGCTGGTTTGTCCTTTTTTCTCATAACAATACATTTGGAGTGAGCCTCTGAAAAACCTCTGTTTGGAGGTTATGTAGCCCTCTATCTCAACAAAAATCAGGACACCCTACCCCTAGATGTGAATGCGCAAAATGGAGGGGTAAGGGCTAAGCGGTAGGGCCAAGGGGTGAAATGTGATTGAGCAATAGTATCTGTACTGGTGTTGGTACAAAAACTGTGACTGATACCCAGCCCCAGTAATGTGTAGTACAGAGGTTCGTCAGGACCAGCTTTGGGAAACGCAGTTGTATGGGCACATTTCATGTTCTAACTTTTCTGCATGTGATTCTGTCTGCAGCGCATGCGCAGTGGCAGCACGGGTGTGGCTGTGTTGCTGGCTGCCGATTGGCTGACAGTAGCCTGGCTGGGAGACTCTCAGGCCATGCTAGTGAGACGTGGTGAGCCCGTCATCCTGATGGACCCCCACAAACCCGAGAGAGAGGTACGACACATACTAATCTTACAGGCCACATCAGGGCTGCAGGAATTTATTCAAAATGACCATTAAAAGAATGGCTGTGTGAAGAATCTAATTCTGAGGTGTCCATAGTTTTGCTTCTTTAGTTCTGAACTGGAGCTACGAGGCCAATGCAGCTAACAAGTAATGGAAGCTTATACTCCAACAGTTAGCATCATGCACTTTAGGGATGCACGATCGGACTCAGCAAAGAATGGCGGATTTTTTGCTCCAAACATGCCATCAGCAAAAAAGCCAAATTATTATTCTACTCTTTTAAACTATTCTTTTAAGAGTATAAGAAGCAGTAATTTGTAGTAACTGCTAGGATTATATTATGACTGTGATGATTCATTATGATTAATAATGACTGGTGCATTTCATAGCACACTCTGAATAAACAGCTATGACGTATGATTAAATGTACAAATCATTATCCCGTCTTTCTTCAGCTCAGAACAAACATCGAGAGATTTAGTAGACTCTACATTACATGCTTATTACTGACCTCTGAGTAGCGATTAAAGTGTCCCTGGTGGTCTGTCTCTCCGCCCCTCTCTCTGTGCAGGATGAGAAGCAGAGAATAGAGGACCTAGGAGGCTGTATTGCTTTCATGGGTTGCTGGCGTGTTAATGGAACATATGCTGTTTCCAGGGCAATAGGTGAGTAACTTTCCTGTTCGGAAGTGGAGAATGACGACATTTTTTTTCAAATCATCCATACTGCCAGGAGTTTCTCAGTAATTATTCTTGGTTGCTGGTGCAGTGTTGGATTCAGTACCCAAATTACTCATAATCCCTCCTGTTTTCTTATAAGAGTTGACTCATTTCTTTTATACCTATTTTAGATGCTTTTTTTTTTTAATCATATGTTCTTTCTTTGGTTATTGCACTGGTGATGTTACTGTGATTATTCAGGTGTATTTATGCACCGCACATCAAAAGTTTGAGGTGGCTCGCTTATAAATGTTTGATTTTCACTGTTACTATTCAGATAAGTAAAAAAATATGCAAAGGTTTTGTTTGTATAAAACAGCTGTTTGCTAATAATTTTGGGAATTTTTAGCTTCAACAATCAGCTTCATGTTTAAGTATCTTCCTCAGTACATAGAGCAAAATCAGTACCCATGTTTTGCTGTTTTCTTTGCCAAGCTATTGTTAAAAGCACATATTAAAATGCTGTTGGCCCAAAGGTGATTCCTCTTATCCTAAATGTAGTGAATCAGCCAAATCTCCAAAAAGGACAAGGGGAAAAAGTTTTTGACTTTTAATGGAAGTAAATGGAAAAATAATTTTTCCAAGTAATTTCGAACCACCGTTCATCATGAAATTTACACACAAGATACGACATAAAGGGCAAGTGCCTTTTTCAAATTATCTCAAAAAACGGAAAATGACAAAAATGGACATACAAGATTTCTTAAAGATATTTATATAAGAATGACAAAGGCCACGTGCCTTGATCACACACTTACCTGAAATTTCTGTTATCTATAAAAACTGACAAATTTCAGACAAATTTGAACAATTCAGGCTTTAACTTGGCCACAGCTACTGTTTTAAGCTATAAGGCGTTTGTGCTTCTGTTTATGTTCACAGATAACCTGAGAGGTTTGAGTGAGTTTTTAATTAGAATTTAGTTAATGAATTTATTAATTCACGAAAGAAAATATACACATTCATATCAAAAACATTTTCTAAAGCTAGGTGTCTGAATTGCATTGATTTTAAATTGGCTTTATCTTGTTTTTTAGTGGTAATATTAATATTAATAATTGTTATTTTATTGTTTTCATGTTAATATTTGGTATATTAAAATTAATCATTTGTTTAATTATAACAAATACAGGGTAGTTTGTAATATTATGTAGTAAACAAGACAGCAGACGTTATATGGAAGCTATAAGGAAATATGTACAGTTGTATGTAATTTGGGCGCCCCTGGTCAAATGACATATTTTGTTAATTTTGAAAATAAGTTAACACATCCTCTGTAGAGAACACAATTCTGCACATTTTAATAAACAATTATTGTTTATTTACCGAATTGAACATATTGGAAAATTAAACATAAAATGTAGCCTGTGCCAAAGTTATGGCATATTTTACATTTTGTGGGTTTTTGTCTAATATGTTAAACTAAGCAGAAAAATAGAAATTATGCACTGACCTTTGCAGAAAAATGCCATGTTTACATTTGTTTTCTGTGGAGGACTTGTCATTTGATGAGGGATGTTAATACTTTTACATACAACTGTATGTAGATTTGTACAGGAACAGTTTGGGATGGATTTGATCACTACTTTTCAAATAACTTTTTCAGCTTCCTACAAATAATTTGAAATGTAGAGTAATAGCATCATATTTTAATGTACACATCTACATGTGTACAATCAGTAACAAAGTTAGTTTTATGGAATTAAAAACAGTAATTCTAAACTTTTTAAGAATGATTCCAAACTTTTGAATCATGGAGTGTGTGTATTTGTTATTATCTCTTTATATAATGTATATCTGCTATTATCCTCTCTCTCTTTGTCTCTCTCAGGTGATTTTGATCAGAAGCCGTATGTCTCCAATGCGGCAGACTGCTCCTCGGTTCAGCTGAGCGGGGAGGAGGACTACATCCTACTGGCCTGCGACGGCTTTTTTGACGTAGTGCGGCCGGTGGAGGTTCCTGGGCTGGTGCAGGAGGCCCTGAGGGAGACAGGTGGCTCCGGGAAGGAGGCCGCTGAAAACCTGGTGAATCAGGCCAAAGCTGCAGGCTCCAGCGACAACATCACCGTCCTGCTGGTGTTTCTGCGGGAACCACAGAAACTGTTGCTTTCGGAAATGGGCTCGGGAACAGAGGGAGAGGCAGGGGGCCAAGCACCACAAAATTGAGGGAAAGGGAGAGAAGGACTGGAGCGTGGAAGCAGACCACTGGAGGGCCCTCTCAGCTTCCTAATGTTGCTGTGATGCCTGGAATTAATGAGGCTTATGGGAGTGGCGCATTGTATTGCTCACTTTAATACTTTATCAATGAGGTCATCCAAAAATATGATATGACATGAATGTGGTTTTTCATCCACTGAGGAAAAATGTCATTATTGATGAGCAGTATTTTTTTTTAAATCATGTCATGATGATGCTTACTCTGAACACCTTGGTTCATTATACTGGCTTTTAAAGCAGCATTCTGTAAGATTTTTTTTAATTAAGAGCAGAAGAGTGGCGGTGGTGTTTAAAAACTTATAGGACGCTGCTTTAAATCAGGCATTCCCAAAGATGCTTTTGATCTACTTGCCTTGTTTTTTTTTTTGTTTTTTGTTTTTTTTTAACTTTTCCTGATTTACAGGTGCTAAATCTCAAAAAGGATGTGATAACATAAGTCATGTTTTTATAGGTCTTCTAGGGATCACTGTTCACTGTGTTAAAGGGATCCTTTGTGCTAATGTCACCAACATGGTGTGAGCGGGGACCAGTCAATTGACCTTTCCATGATCTGCCCACAAGTGTATTGTTCTGTAGATTGGACAAGTTTACGGAGCATTGGCAAAAAAAATCCTATTCAGCCTAATAAGAAACTGTAGCAAACAACAAATTAAATTAACACGCTTTTATTTTGTGTATTTGAAAAGTTAACATTAGTTTGATGTGATTTCCATAGTATTTCATTGCATTTTAAACTGGAAACTCAATAGTATGCAGTGAATCTAAACTCCACCCTTCACTCTGATAGGTTGAATGGAATTTTTGCCTGTGTTCTGTAAAACTGGTCCAACGTCACAACTGTTGCTATGAAAGTGTGCATTTGTGGGTGGAGCATGGATAGTCCAAGTGGCGCTAACTGGCACCTGGCTTTCATTCATTATTAGCAACATCAGTCTGCGATAGTAAAATCCAGAGGTTATGGTGAAGAGCCTCCGTTTGTCCATTTTCCAGTAGGATGTTTCCTGTTATTTGTGACTGTTACAAAGCAGTGTGAACCTAAGGGCACACCCATCTTAAATATATGACTGTTAATCTGGTCAAGGCAATGTGCTTTGAAGATGAAATATTCATAAAGCCTCATCTACATGAGGCAATATCGGTCAATGTTTCTGCAGTTTCATTATGTCTTTCTTAATGTTTTAATGTGCATTTGTGGCAGAACTGTTTCTGTGCCAAAACAAAGTATGCATGTGACTAACTTAGTCAAGAACTGTCTTCTTCAGTACTTAACTTTCTTAAAAAGGTGAACAATGTGTTTTATATCCATATTTGGTATGCATAGTATTCTCTGGTCTTAACATATTAATGTTTTTTTCTCATTCTTTATATCGGATCTTGGTGCCTTTCTTTAAAGCAGTGTTAATAATGGTTGTTGTGCAGTTCAGCCCAGTTTTCAAAATACAAATTAAGCCCAGTTCTTGACTAAGAGACTTTTGATGGAACATCTCTGTAGGGCTTTGTTCATACAGGCAGCTCATGTTGGATTTTTTGGCCTATCTGATCTAAGCAGGAAGGATTTTCTACAGTCTGAATGGCGAAAAAGACAACTTTTTCCATGTGGATTCAAGTTTGATTCAAATTCTGTGGACATGTAACTCAGTTTGACTCGTCAGATCAAACCTCTCATGTACTAAGGGTATTGTTTTTTTTTTTTATCTCATACCAATATCAATACTGATACTGATTACTAAATAAAACAGTATTCGATTTTTCAAGTTTTTCACACATATAGATTTAGTTCAGAGTTAATTTCAAGTTCCCTGTTTAAAATGCCATGCTACCGCAATGTGCTCAATTTGCATATATTTGTTTTTACCTACGTTGAACTCAACAAATAAATAGGAATTGTGCACGACAATTTGCGGCTAAATGCCATATTTAAGTTTGTTCCATTTAGAGGATGTTTTTACTTATTTTCACCTCCAAAATCAACAAAATAAATAATTTGACTAGGGCTGTCCAAAGTTTTGCATATAAGTATAGCTCTTGAAATTGAATGCCAGTGTTTTGATGCTCGGTATTATTTGAAGTAATTAGAATAAAGGTAATAAATTACGATACAAAGTCCTAGCAGCACTTCTTGACGCCAGAATGTGTGACGAAAGTCGTTCATTTGCTCCCCCTTAGTTGTCAAATGACTGACTTCACCATTTTTATGACAACCAGTGTATTTGCAAGCAACTGTGACTGCAATCTGACCATACAGATTGATTTTGGCTTGCAGTGTGGACACTCTAAAAATCAGGTTTAAGAAGCAAATCCCAGCTGCCCTGATATGTGAACAAAGCCTTACTAGGTCAGTTATTTCAGAAGTGGGCTTATTCTGTGTCTGAAAAAACTGTCCACATATACATGTTTCTAAAGGACAGTTGAGTGTGTGTGTGTGTGTGTGAGAGAGATGAGAGGGTGTTATATTAACTCGCAGCCAGGCTTGCTGCAGGGCCACGGGTCCTGCATGCGGTTGGCTGTCTCACATTACTGCCTGCTCAAATGTCATGAATATTTGAAAGCCTTGTGACATGTAGCTAATATGACTGGACTGTGGCTTTAGCGCGGACGAGCTAAGAATAGAGCTAACTTAATGTGTGTTGGATCGGAGAGAGAGGAAGAAGAAGAGACAGAGCAATGAAGTGTTGATTTAGTGATTTGATGAAAATGCCAAGGACATGGACAGTGATTCTCTTAAGGTTTTCCAGTAGCGTTGGAAGATCGCCTCGCAAGTTCAAATCTGTCAAAGCAACATGTTTCGTATCTGAATAACTGCTTTCATGCAGTCGTATGCAAAACTTTAGGCTGACTTATTTGCCGAATTTAACATATTGGGGGGAAAAAGAGGGTCTGTACAAGTTATGACACATTTTATACTTTGTTTTAATTTTTTCAATATCATAACCTCAACAAATAAATAGATATTGTGCACTGAAATGTGCAGAAAATGGATATATTTGTTCCCTGTAGAGGATGTTAACTTATTTTACTTGAATCAACAAAACATCTAATTTACTAGGGGTTTTCAAACTTTTGCATACAACTGTATGTGTTGTTAGTATTTCAGTAATGTGTTTTCTTACACGTTTGATATTCTGCTGCTCCCTTGACACAAACCTGCTCCGCCTTCAAATCCTTTCTATCGTAGCAACTGTTGCTAGGTTGGACAAGCTTTACAGAACAGCAAATCCAGTTGAATCTAATGAATTTAGGGGTTTAGATTTTGCTACATAACATTGAGCTTCTGGTTTGAAATGCTACTCTACTGGGTTGTTGTAACTTTTCAAAAGTAGGCAGGTTGAACTGCCACTGAATTTGCCACTATGCTAATGTTATCTCAGTTACACAACATAAAACTACACCCAGTTTATCTTAACAGTGTCATCTTTCACATGGATAGAAAATTAGCATCACTTGAAATTAATAACGCCCAAAATTTTCATATTTTGAGTTGCATACTACAGTTTCTGATTGTATTGAGAGGGATTATAGTAACACTGTTATTTTTTATTTTGAGATTGATGCTTTGTAGATGCTGAAATTTGTCTTCAACATTTAATTAAATATCTACAAAACGTAACTGAACTTGAATGCTGAATAGTTGTATAGATTAAATGAAATCTAAGTCTTAAACTAATCCTAACCTTAACGCTAATGCTGTAGAAATAAAGTGTGATTTTTTTGCCAACAATCAGTAAAGCTTATCCAGCCTAGCACAGTTGCCACAAAAGCACATTTGTAGGTGGAGCATGGATAGGTCAGTTGTTGGATGATTATGCATTTTGACTTTGACTGTTCATCTCCTTTGCTCTGTCTTTCTACTCTTTCTCTCTCATTCACTTACATCACTTACCCTCAATCTACTGTCTGATCTCACATTTCCCATCAGGCAGTGCGGTTTACCAGCGACATTGTGACATCACTGATGATCTTATCGAGCATCATCTGATTTATTTGCACCCCCTAAACCACAGACCCCCAGGCTGTGACACTGATGCCTGTCTGTAGTGCTGTCTAAAGCCATTCACTTTTGCATTGTGTTTGCATTGTGAACAGATGTGTTTTTGTGTCTTCTTAATCTTTCCAATATATTGAGCATCAAAGTTGAGATATTTAAGACTGGTCACTTTTGGGAAACAGGTCAAGCCTAATCTAGGACTATATTATAATGAAAATGGTGGTTTACTGAAATGAAATGCCTTTTTAGTCTAGGATTACTCTTAACCTGGGTCTGGGGAATGGGTTTAAAGAGGAATTCCACTGATTCCAATGTTTGCATAGTTCAATTTTTAAGATGTAAATAAAATCATACAGAGTGGCCTGATGTCAAAAGCACTAGTCTAGAGAAACGTACCAGCTCTTTACAGTGGTGGTGATGGGAACCAGACAGCTTTTGTTTACATTCCCAAAGATAAATTGATGTTAATGTCAAAAATCAATGGAATTCCTCTTTGAGTTAAAAAGTTAAAGAGTATATCTGACCACTGCCCACAATGCGCTTCTTGCCAATGTGAAAACCAATTTATAGAAATTTGTAGGTGTTTATTTCTTTGTGCATTATTGACTGTTTTCCAAAGGACTTCATGAGGCTGTAGTTGTTGTTATTTGTATTGTTGGAGGACATGAATCTGTATCAACTGTATGTAGCCCACATGTGCCACACATCTCCAACATGAGGCCTTATTTGTGCCTTATTTTGTGTGTGCTCATCCTGGAGCTTTCAAAATGAATACTGCCGACACAAAGCGCAGCATTTTGCTTTCACATTTACTAAGCTGAAACATTTATAGGGGAACTGACATTTTTTCTCTGTTACATGACTTTTTGTGTGTGGTATTGTGCCTGTTTGGATGTTTGTAAATTTTATACTGGCAGGAGTAACTCTGTTCCACTCTGAGCATTTGTATTGTATGCACTTGTAATAGGTCCTTTGATTGTATTGCATAATTTAATGTTGATACCAGTCATTTCAAACTGATAGAGGTTTCTATGTGAACGCATTTGTTAAGGATCTATTTTGTGACCTTTCCTTGAAAAGTATTAATTATTTTCATTTCATAACTGCTTTGCATTGAGTGAGATGAGAGTTGAAGTCTAATCAATCGTGATAATAAATAAACAATAACCACACTAACATGTTTTCCTTTTGTGGGTATTAGGATTATTTATTGGAACAGTCGTTCCTAAGACTTAATCCCGACTCTCTGTTATGTAACAACCACTGCTGTAAATGGATCAAGGCTGTTTTGTTCTGATTGTTGGCTAAAATGATTAGGGCGTGCAGAATGTGGTCAGTCCATTTACTCTAATATTCTTAACTTATATGAAAAAGCATGTATTTCAATTCAAATTTCACAAAAATTATTTGAACCTTTTAGATGCCTGTTGTAACAAAACCTTGCAACTTACTGTAAATCCAAAGCACATTAAAAAAAAAAAAGAAGATGCTTCTTTGTGGTTCTATAGTAAAAGCAATGGTTCTATTTAGAACCATGAGTTCTACACTCTTAAGAAACATGGTTCTTCAATGATTCTTTAGTAAAGACAATGGTTCTATACAGAACCATGAACACTCAAAGAACTGTTTGCATGCTTGGTTCTTTGCATGGTGAAATGGTTCGTCAGATTGATGAAGAATGAGTTGTATATGGTTCTATATACAACCTTTTTGGAAATGGTTCTATATAACATCAGAAAGGGTTTGTTACAAACTTGACATCTTAACAATACAAGAACCATGTTTGGCACTATACAGAACCATTTTCAAAAATATTCTATATAACTGTATGCAACACATTCTCCATCAACCTGAAGAACCATTTTACCATGCAAAGAACCATTTAAGCATGAAATGGCTCTATATAGGACTCATGGTTATAAATAGGACCATAGCCTGTGCTAAAGAACCATTTTTTAAAGTACCATTTGAAAATGCCATGCTCTCTTTACATTTCATGATGAATGGACCAATAGAGAGGGTCCAAAATTACTATCTGATTACATTCTCATATTAAACATTAACATTTTTTCCCCATCTAAAGCTGCCATTTCAAAGATATAAGGTTTTGTTATGCCAGCAGCTACAGTATGTTCAGTGAAGAAAGGGTTGCAGGTGTTGATTCTGGGTTGTATGCTGTGTAAAAGCCAGACTGAACTGGAGGAATCTTCCAGCTCATCCATTACGGTGATAGAAAGCAAGTTCGATAAACGTCATGACATCATTGGTCTGGTCTGGTAAATGGGTGTGGTTGTTGAAGGAAGTGAATGAAAGAGGCCTTAAAAACTCCACAGTTACTGCAGTACTCTTACTTAAAGACAGCGTACTGAAGAAGATATAAAATATTCCTTTAAGGATATAGTGGTGTAAATGTCAACAACAATTACACAGAGCAGCATGTTTTGCTGGTGAACTGCTCACTTTCACCTGTGGTTGTTTTCTTTAATTACTGATAGATTTGCTGTCAGTATATACAGGCTAAATTATTATTTAGGTTATAACCTGCAATTACTAGCTGCTGGGTGGCTACAAGGTCAGAAATCAGGGCCTGTATTACTATTAAGCTCTGTGGGTATTAGGAATTGAACTGAATAAAGAATGAATTGAAGTCACACATTAAACACCAATGTTGGATAAATTTCATAGGAAATGCACAAAATTAGGCTAAGACTAAAGGCTTCACCACTCAAATATGCTCATAAAGTGGTGCAGTGAGGAAATCTGATTTGTCAGGCTGCTTCCCCTCACAGATGGATGTGTGCATGCAGGATGTAGTGTGTGTGGGGAGTGCTGAGGAAAGTACCAGTCTGAGAAATTATACAGGTTTGAACTAAACTGGAAAACATGTTTGGAGGGAAAACCACATTAGTAATCCCGCAAAACTGCGAGGATGGTTTATGTGGGGTGTTGAAAATGCACTGTTTTACGTTGACGTGTGGAAATCAGTCCAGGTGTTTGCAGTGAATGTGAACGCGAACATGAATATGAATTTGACGCCCCTGTGTGGTCACGTGACCTTCCCCGTTATTTCCTGCAAGCAGCAACGTTTTGCTTGTAGTGACGGCCCAGTTTGATTCAGTTCAACCGATTCTTTTCAACTGTCCGCTTTAATGAATCGAACGTGCACATGAACAATTGAGCGATTCACATATTAAATCAACCTCTGTTTTACTGTGTGTGTGAACAGTAAATAAACTCTTGAATATTGAATCTTGAAATGAGCCTGATGTCTAGTGCTTCTACTAGACGATTTCATCTCTCTAAGCACAAAATGCACATCACTGAAAATCAACTCAACTTCTAATTTGATTATTCATTGTCGTTTAAGACTGGGAGTCAACGTTATTCTCATTCCCTGCATATATGATGACTTATGATTCAGTGGGTAAGCCTGATTAAGGCCATTTCTATTGTATTCTGGCCTATTAAAGTAGGTATACAGTAAATCATTTTATGTAACAGTATTTTATCCTGTGATTTTAGGAGGCTGAAATGAAATGAAAAAAAATGCCTAGATGCTAAAAAGATCATATTCACTGAACGTAATCTGTAAGCAGGCATTTTTTTTCATAATAATTTGATATTTCATTTAGGGAATTTCGGATATTGAATATGTCAAAATAAATCTTTATCTTAAAACGGACGTAAATTCTGCTGTCTATTTTAATGAATCGAGTGTTTGATTTGATCATTCATTTCAATTCATGAATTAAAGGAACTGTAATGGAAATTGAAAATGGTTGCTGTGGTATTTATTCTACGCTGTTATTTTATAATGTCAAACTGGTAAAGATTATCATTTCATTTCCAATCTGCGAAGCAGAAGCAACGAAAAAAAAAATAAATCGATTCAGCTGGGACTTGTGAATCGGTTCACCCAGTTTATTGAAAAGAACCGGTTCAAAGTAACCGATTCCTGCACGATTCGGACATCGCTATTTGCTCGCTGCCTGCTTGCAGACTCCAACCATACAGACCCAGCAGGCGCAGCGGAGCGTTACGTTTACGGGACGAGTGCGCAACTTTTGTTTTGTACTCACTTTGCCGCAGTAAAGGAGCTCCTTCAGGTCTAAACAGTTCGTACTACGTCTTGTGAGACACCAAGAGTCGTATTTGTTGTCCGTGGAGTCGTCGTTGTTGTGTGAGTGAGTGTGTGTATGTGTATGTGTGAGTGTGTGTGAAGGCAGCTCGGTTCAACAATGGCGACGGCGGCTGCGATGTCTGGTCCTGCCGGCTGTGGCGGCACTAATCTCGGCTCTGGGACCGAGCTTGTCCGCGGCCAGGCCTTCGACGTGGGCCCCCGATACACCAACCTCTCCTACATCGGAGAGGGAGCGTACGGCATGGTTTGGTAAGTTTTTTTTTTTTTTCCACCTACTACTTCTTTTTTTTTTCACATTACACATTCTCTTCACATGCACACTCCTCTTTTTCCCCTTTTCCTTTACACGTCCTTCATTCAATCAGTGCAGTGAACAAGTGGGTGTTGAAGATTAACCAGCTCCAATTCATTGCTCACTCTGGTTTAGTTCAGGGGTAATTTCTTCGCTTGCTGTCAGATTGTCAGCTTATGTTAGGAGAAATAACACGTTTTATGTAATACAGCTCTCTTTAGATTAAAGGAGAATTCCACCGATTTTCAAAGTTTCTGTAAAATTCAGTCATTGACATGTAAGCAAAGTCATTCAAAGTGGTTTGTTGTGAAATGGTTCATTGTTGTGAAACTTGCCAACTCTGTTTTCTTTGCAGTTGTAGTGATGGGAACCAGGGATCATAATATCTACAGCACAAATGTGGTCATTTTATTTACTATCCAAAACCACCAACAGACCTTCACGTATATGTTTTATGTGGAATGTTGATCATGGTAAGTGGTAAATCTGAAAAAATAAGTTTTCTTTGGGGGCTATTTTGCTTCACAGCACTCTACATGTACCTCTTCACAATGAACAGCTTTTAAAAATACATCTTTTAGGCCAGATCCTGACCTCAGCACTTTAGTAAAACAGGCATCAGGCATTATATTCTTAACCATATAATGTAGTGACTTTCTGTCAGCTTTCAAAGGCATTAATCGCTTTAAACGTTTGGTTCCTATCATCACCACTGTGAACAATTCTGACTCTGTAAGTTTCTCTAGAAAGGAGCATTTCAAATCAGATCACTCTGGGTGACTTTGTCTACACTTTAACCACTTAATTATGTACAGTTGTTGAAAATTTGGTGGAATTACCCTTTAAAGTCATGACATGGCAGCGTGGCTGTACTTCACTTTATCAAGTTGTTTAACCTTAAGAACATTTCTGAAGGTATGCAAGTTAGTTGGAAACAGAACTTCTATCAGCTACCAAACAGGCATCACGCTAGCTAAAGTTTTAATACCTAAAGTTATAATCTACCGTACAATAATCTCAGGGATTGCTGTTGACATATAGCAGGTAAAAAGAAGATTTAGGTTCAGTTTCACAGTGACTTATGTAAATGGTTTGGTTTGTGTAGTTAAACTGAAAAAGGCCAGTTTGTCCAGCTCAGTGAAATACAATGTTTACTGTGGCTATTCCCTGCAGGCCACCTTCATTTCAGATAGTCCCGTTTTACGCAGTTTGAAGGGCCTATATCCTATGTTTCATATCGCTGTTGTTGGAAGAAAACCTTGTATCTCCAAAAAGCTATCTTTACATGAGAAGGAAAAAAAACTACTTTTAATGTAAGTCAATGGAACCAGACATTTTTCCAAGTCGGGCCGTTTTGGGCTGTTTCTTTTGGTCCATTCTTCATGAAATTTACACACAATGTAAAGGCCTACAGGCAGTTTCAAATTATGTCAAAAACTGAAAAACAGCAGCAACAGCGATACATTTCTCTACTATTTAACTTCCCTGAGGTCCACTTATGATATTTTTATGGGTTTATGTACCAAAGACAATCATTTATTTTTACATGACTATTTTGTCTCTTAGAAGCAAATTGTTGCAGCCAAATAAGTGATTATGTGTAAATGCAATGTTTTTTGTGACATCACAACAACGGTGGATTCAAAAATGACATTTCTATATATAAACTGTATGGAGTGTGGAGAAAGCACTACATTTTGAGGCTTTAACAGTGTTTACATATAACAGCAAACTCATTTATTTATACAAGCATGGAAAATGGGCTCTTTAAGAATGAAGATGCCACTTATGTTTTGTATTGTTCTTTTGTTTTTGAGGTAAATGATGCTGCATCAGTGTGGTTGCAGGCAGTTGTAATAACGGCGTGTTATTATGCAATCTTGGGTAGTTTGTTTCTTCCTGATCAACCATTTGATGATACCTTTTCATTTGGGTGTAGAAAAGCTTTCATAACATGCAAGAACATTTCTTTTTTTCCTGTATAACTTACAGCTGTACTGGATGAGTACATTCAGTGTGCTGGAAATGTTAACGTCTGATAATCCGCACAGCACTCGGCCAAGGATGTCAAGGTAGCAGCGGGTTAGCGCATGCATGTCCTCTCCACAAACGCGTGGGTGCTGATGGCCCGAGGTTGAACACGACGGGTGGAAACGCAATGCACTCATCCACAGTTTCGTTTTTACATAATGGACTTGAATGTGAAGCCATACTAAAATATTTTCACACCAGGAAGCTGAGCGGCCCTGCTTAATTGGGAGTTTGTCAGGGTGAGCTGAAATGTTGCACATCGTTTTCAAGTGCATCACTTTACAAGTCTGGCATATAGTTGTACATCCTGGATAGGCTGGTGGCTTGAATTCAGTGATTGGGGCCAAAAGTACTGTCTGTACATTAAGGATGGGGAAATGTGGCAAAATATAACATCACATGAGGACATTTTCACAATATATGATAGGTGCTTTATTTAGGTATTCAGAGGCTTGCAATCAAGTTGAAACAGAGAAAGTGCACAAACAGATGGCATGTATTTAAATGATGTGCCATGAGCACTTTGTAGTATAAGCTTATAAAATAAGATGGGCTGACATTCAATCAGCTAGTTGTTACTATGCAGTTTATGCAGTTACTGTACACTGGTTGTTTACAGCTTCTCCGTAATTGGTCAGTATCTGTCTTCTCTTAATGAGTCACGCTGCTGTTCGGTGTTCTTAAAGTACTAATGATACTACGGGTGATTGATATTGCAAAAATATAATATCACAATACTTGAAAACCTTCTCGATGGCCTGAATCAGGATGAAACAGACCTGCACTACGATATTTCATTTTTCTGAGGATTCATAAGTCGAAACAGACCAAAAAAAAGTTTCAAATAATACTATCAAAATTATGGATAGTGATTTTAATTGAACGTTTATATAACGTATCGCAGTTGTCGGAAGAAAACCTTGTACCTCCAAAATTATAACTTTACAGGGAAAGGAAAAAACTTACTTTACTTTTAATGTAAGTCAGTGGAACCAGACTTTTTTCCAAGTCATTTTGGGCCATTTCTTTTGGTCCAAACTTCATGAAATTTATACACAATGTAAAGGGCAACAGGCAGTTTCAAATTATGTCAAAAACTAAAAAATGACAAAAATGGAGATACAAGGCTTTAAGTACCGACTTTATCTATGATTTGCTCAGAATATTGTGACATAATGTGTAATATCATCCATACTGTGATATTATTGATATTATGTTATACTGAGAAAAGCACATCGTGCTGTAATTTATCACAATACTGACGACGTCACATCACCACTATAATTTACACTGAAGCTTTATTGGTTTTACCTGCTGGTCAGTGCATCAAAAATATGGCCAATTAATTAATAAATCCTTTGCTTGACAAACTCTCATACCTACTCCCAGAGATTTCTTCACTGCATTCACTGAATGAGGCTGAGCTCTGATAGCTAGATGCTGTCCATCTGCTCCCAGTGAGAAAAAAAAAAACTGGTTGGGCTTTGACAGTGATCTCATTATTGGCCCGTGCTGTGGCTTCTCATGTAGAGGGGAATGAATGAGCCCAGCTTTTACACCCACTACACCACAGAATCAGCGGAGCTGTTTGCAGCAGGCTGACTGTACACTGGTCCTCTGATGGTATTTGCCTACAAACTGCAGTATACTGTGATCTCTGTGTAGGCCTGAATCAGGATGAAACGGACTCCAGTGTTGGCTTGGCCCTGTTTCATAGCAAGTTGAGCTCAACAACCAGGAAATGAAAAGTGCCCTCGAACACAGCCATAGAAAAGAATTTAGAGGCTGAGATACAGCAGTAGTAACTCTCTATTGTCTCTTCCCTGGGCAGTTTGCAGCATAATTAAAAAGACAAAACATAACATATAACATCAAAACATATACTGTCATGTAAGTCTGGGTACTTTAAATTACTTTTTGTTTATTTTCTAATAAAAATAACATTATGTGAAGAGACCACACTTCGGCACATTTTAATGCACATTGCTTGTTTGCTGACTTTAACATACTATAGAAAAAAACTTATGAAAAAAAAGGGCACACTTGATATTTTATGTTTCACTGTTTTATATTAAATTAGGTAAGTAATTAAGTAATTAATTTTGCACTAAAATTAGAAGAAAAATGGCATATTTAAGTTTATTTCTTTTAGAGGATGTGTTAATTTATTAAATCAACCAAACATGTAATTGGACCAAGCGTATTTAAATATTTGCATAACACTGTGTACATAATAAACAATATACTGAAATTGTTCTGCAAGTAATAATTATTTTTAAAATGTTAATATTGTTAGATTACTTGACAAATCATTTTCAACTTTCCCCATCCCAGTATTGACGTCATTCAAAATTTCATGTGTTTTCACAGCATCATGAAGCCGTATCGCTCCCTACACTTCTTGTAGTGATTTGCTGTCTGTCAGAAGGACTGTGTGAATTATGTGAACGTTATACTATTAATTAGCACTTTCATTGTCAAATAAACAACTTTTATTCATAACCGATGTCATTTAATGACTTTTTGACACCATTTAAAAACTGCAGGAGAGTTTTATGTCATGTGAAAGTTTAATGACAAATGGATTAATAGAAATGGTTCAAAATTACTTGGAACAAAATCTTGTACCGTTAATCTACATTAGTCAGGAAAGGTTGTATTTGTTTTTTTTATTTTTTTCCCTTTTCATAAACCATTTCAGAGGTGCAAGGTTTTGTTACAACAGTCACAAGAAAGACTCAGGGATGGGTTGAGGTTTCATGAACAGTATGGGCTTTGCCGTGGGTCTGCCTGGCATCAGATGGACTGAGCAGCCGTTTGTGGTCACACTTCAGCACATGCCAGAGCTGCGTGTCTGTCAGGTTTCAGTAGCCGAACAGCTATTCAAGTACACTGAATTGGTTTTAATGGCAATCTGAATCTATTT